CAAATCTGAAAATGTATTTCTCATTTTTGTTTCCTAATCTTTTTCGTCCAGTTCTTGATATTTTCATAATACCCACAAGAATTAAGAGTTAGTCGTTGAATGGTGGCATGCGGTGTAGAAGATAAAAAATATGAGACGATTCAAATAATAGCAAAAATTTAGATTTCAAACGGTGACATGTGGTACAAAAAAAAATATGTGAGACGATTTAAAAAATAGCAAAACTACATACATGACTAGTCTATATTTTGAGTTGCATAAAACAAACAAAAAAATAGCCGAACAAAAAAAATGATAAAACACAAAAAACTACATATTCAGGTAAGTAGACTTATAGAAAAAAGCTCAACCACTGTATATAGTACAAGACATTTTTAACAATTATGTTCTCAAATTAATAGACTAATTTGTTGTTTAAAGCCTTAGTTTCAAAAATTATTTGATTATATTTCTACTCAAAGTCTTAATATATATACACACAAAAAATAATTTTTTTAAGACATAAAATACATTCTCAAGTTATTGTTTTGTTGGCGAATAATAACTCCTCAAGTTATGCCACGATTAATCAAAATATAACTTGATGGTATAACTTGATTGTATATCCGAGATAAGTAGACTAATATACTTATATATCCAAGCTCAACCATTATAGTACAAGACGCTTTTAACTGTGATATACTCAAATTAATAAACTAATTTGCTATCTAAAACCCTAACTTTTTTTTCCTTCAAATTTCCTTTATTCATCTTCTTCCCCAACTTCATAAACATTAGTCCATATGAATTTTGTTTATTGTTATTGTTCGATCTCACATCGTTCAAACCATTAATATATATTAAAAAAAATCTAAAAAAAAATTTGTTAAAAAAATAACTTTCCAACTTATCCCACGATTTCAAAGAAGAGAAGATTAATCAAAATATAATTTGACATGCACTTAAAGGGGACGAAGGAAGAGGAAATGATTATTGTTTTTCATCAGGTTCTGAAACAACGCGTTAAAAGAATTTCATTTGGCTGCTTAATGTTTTTTTTTTCAGTGGAAAACATAATAATATAAAAACTCGACAATTAAGCTAAGAAATAAGAAAACAAACACTGACCACAGGACACACGGATTGTCGACCGACCAGAGACCAAAAAGACTTTTACTTTTAATCATTAATAATCCCACTCGTTTCTTATAGCCAAACCCA